TAAATGATATTTATACAAATCAAAAAACAAAAAGCAATATATTGCAAACAATACTGCTTATAGCCTTATGAGAGTGCCCCAAGGGTCTTGCTTAAATACTACAAGTTACTACTGCGTGGCTTGGATATGCTCCATTTTGTGCATCTCACATAGATAAACAACAAACTAGTTCCAAGTAAAAATACTCTTCAAAATAGTTGTAAACATTCAATTCAAGTGACCATAAATAATGAATTGAATTAATGAAGGGATACGATTCACCGAAAACGAGAGTGAATCGTACCAGGACTAACCCTATCGGAACACTGCCCATAGTATTGTCTCGTCTGGTCCAGCCTTCAACTGTTTTTACAGGTCACTATCATGTTAACTGAATATTAGTGAGAGTGGAGTGTAACAACATGTTTGAAATTTCATATGACATTTGTCTGCTTTACAGGACATATAACAGACAGATGGACAGTCTGATAGTTGTTCAAAAGTCCTGTGAATAGACCTGAATGATTAATAAATTACCGAAAAGTACAAGTATATATGAAATATATTTCCCATACTGTTCTGGAAAATTTTCGTCACTGTACACAAAGTATTCACAGGGAGGATTAAGCTGCTTCCATTGGGTAAACAGCATCTGTGCAAAAACCAATGACTCCGGGGAAAACCACCAGATGGTTCAATAGGAATTAATATGAATATTTCAAAACACAATGACAAATATATACATGCCCATCAATATTACTTGGATAACTGGTTACAGTTTTATTCCTAACCAGTTACAAAATGTACAAACTGGTATTTCTAACCCTTGTAGATAAGTGGCATTCATTCATGAATGCTGTATACTGCTTTGAAGATTTTCAAATAGGGCACGCATTTCCGGGAATCAGAATGACAAACATTGGTTACGTTGACACGTCTTTCACATGTGTCAATCTATGTCATATTTAGTCTACGCGAAACAGGAAACAATGCAATGAATGTGAAATAGGAAGCATTGCTCGGTGAATTGCTTTGGTTTGACAGTTGTACCTTGTACGGTATATACTTGGAATATTGTTTAAAATCATGAATATGGTAAAGTTTGTACGATGAGTGAGTGAGTGAGTGAGTGAGTATACTTGGAATATTGTTTATAATCATGAACATGGTAAAGTTTGTACGATGAGTGAGTGAGTATACTTGGAATATTGTTTAAAATCATGAATATGGTAAAGTTTGTACGATGAGTGAGTGAGTATACTTAGAATATTGTTTAAAATCATGAATATGGTAAAGTTTGTACGATGAGTGAATGAGTATACTTGGAATATTGTCTAAAATCATGAACATGGTAAAGTTTGTAATGATGAGTGAGTGAGTGAAAGTCTGAAGTGGTGCATGTCTCAGACATTTACCATTTTGGTGAAACTAGATATGACGGTAGTCTGTAAATAACTAGTCTAGGCCAAACAATTCAGTGATGGACATCATCAACATGTATGTCATACTGTCCAGTAAGGCTGTAACGATTCACTCGCATATTCGGTGAATCGAACCGTAGCCCTTCATGAATTCAATTCGTTATTCGTGGTCACCAGAACCGAACATTCATGAATATTTGTAATATTTTATTATTAAAATAATTTTTAATGATGTTAGTTCCTTATTTTAGCGGCAAGCCAACGGCCTTAAGTTACCGCTCTTCATGTTAATTAGAGTTATCTCCCATTGACCTAATTCTTGTCTTCCTAGCGTTTGAAATGGCGGCATGCTTGATCTATCGTGAAGATAAATCAGTCAATTGGAAAGGAAAAACATAATGGCAGAAAGTATACAGGAGGTAAAACCCAAGTGCAAGACTGCTGGTAACCGGTTGCAAGACGTGATGGAGGCTTTGAAAAGTCCAGTATCGCACAAACAAGGAAGATCAAGCCTTACACGAGTGTTTCCTGTGTCCTTGTCGACAGATGCCATGACAACTCCGGCTGGAGTGGAGAAAAATGACTTTGATTCTGAATATAGATGATTAAGTGAAGAGTTACATCAACTCAGGTTAGAAAACAAGAAAGCCGAACTCAGAAGAGAAATTGACAGATTAAAGGTGAAACTGACACGTGAACAGGACGATCACGTGAACAGAGAGGTCAACCAAAGTGAAGGTCAAATACGTCAAGATGGCGGCACCCATGGTAATAACAAACAGTTAGATTACACAAATTTTCTATGGGTCAATTCACTGGAAACGGCAAGACAAACAGTCCATTTAGGGGGAGGTGTAAGCATCGATGTAGGGAAAAAATCTACAAACCTATCTAAGATATCATTGGACATGTGGATTTATGCAAATTTAGGATTATTGCGTCACCAGGTCCAGAAAGGTGCATTCAACAATTATGATGTTGATAGTTATCTCAAGTATATGCAGGACATTGCTAGGTACTCATCCAAGTATATTTGGCAAAGTGTTGTTCTATATGATAAGGAATATCGTATGCTCCAAGCCAAGCCACACCTATACCAGCACTACATGAAATGGGTCTATAAGCAGTGTAGGAAAGATGTAGAAAATCTAGCCTGTCCACAGGACTGGCAGGTCAAATTTTTTACCAGTCCTGCCAAAATCTAGCCTGTCCTCCAAATATAAATAAAACACCTTCGGCAGTAAATATTCAAAAAGGTTATAATCATTATATATATGTCAATGGTTTGCTAAAATTGACCCGACATGAGGACGGACTAGATATTTTTTTAACCCGTCCTCCACAAAATTCACCCGTCTCGGACGTTGGGACGGGCTATCTTTCCTACACTGCTATAAGGTCTAACAATTGGGCACCAAGGACGTCATTTCCAAGGGGCATAAGCCATGGTGTGTTTATTGTGGACATAGAACTGTCGGTTAATGTGGGAAATATAAACTGATATAATGCAAAAAATAAATTAGTTGCTTCTGATATATGTATGGGTTTGGCTATAAAACTACTTGATAAAAACTTTTTATGATGAAAAAGTGCAAGACAAATAAGTTAATTTTTGTGTAAACTTGTCCTTTAATAGTACTTTTTTAAACTAAAACCTTTTTGATAATTTTTTTACTTACTTCCTTTAAAACTGCTACATTCTCTGTAAAAGGGCGTGTTATATTGCCAAGAAAAAGTGTAAGTTCTGTCATGTATTCAGGCTTACAATGGGGCATTTATAAAGCAGTGTCTCAAAGAGAGGGTTTCTGAGGCTTGTTGATATAGTATTTGAATCTTGAGACCCTAAATGTTTGGCTTATAGTATAAGGTCAATGACAGTGTTAATTTTGAACACTGTATACGTTACTTACAGATTGGTCTAGAAGTTAGGCAGGGTGCCCCAACATTAGTGAGTGAGTGCGTTTGGTTTTATGCCGCTTTTAGCAATATTCCAGTAATATCATGGCGGGGGACACCAGAAATGGGCTTCACACATTGTACTCATGTAGGGAATTGAACCCGGGTCTTCAGCGTGATGAGCGAACGCTTTACCACTATTTACTCCACCACCCGTCCCAATGTAAAGTCAGCTTTATTACACCTATATTATAACAACATGTAAACAGATGAGTTTTTCAAGGCATTCCAGTGACAAAAGCTTGAAAGTATCATATACAATCAGCCATTTTAGTGAACCCTTGATGAGAATCCCCAAGGGTGGAACATTAATTAATTAATTCTATTACCTTATTACTTTGTTAGCTTTGTTAATTAATAACGTCTCATGTAAACTGTGTAACTCCATAGTTCGAGTTGTTGTTGGCACAGGGTGAACATATTTAACCTACATGAAGTAGTGAGAATGGTTTTCTGATGCTATCAAGTTCTTTATCATGGTGAGGACACCAGATATTGCTGCATACACTGTACCCAAGTATGCATCCAACGCTGGTGAGGTGAGGTGAAAGTGGGTTTAACGTCGTGCTTGAGAATATTTCGCTCATATGACAACGTGCATGTGTGTGTATGTGTATGTGCGGCTGCCTGTACTAGCCCAGACTTAAGCTGGTTTTATAGTGCTAGCCCACTGAGATACCATGCCGCAGTGAAGCATGAATATCCCACTCAGACACATTATACTGACTCCAAGCCGACCAGTCCTTGTTGTACCCATTAATGCCGAGCGCCAGGCAGGGACCAACAAGTACCATATTTTAACGTCTTTTGGTATGACGCGGTCGGGGATCGAACCCGCGACCTTCTTGTTACACTTTTACAGCATTACGAACATCAGGAGTGGGTACATAATTCACACAGTGGTAGTTGTGAGACAGAGCATATACTCAAATTACCCATGTACATTGTAACATAAGGTGTACCAACAATGGCCTCATGTGCTTCAATAACCCATGCTGATCTATGTTCCATCATCAAATAATATGTATTCGGATGTCAGTGTTTACCTGCACTGTGATGAGGTGAATAGCATCACCCAGACATTGTAACTCCATGGATGATGGCTCATTTGTAAAATAAAGTTGTCTTCTACAAGCAGTGACATGTTTTACACATAATTAGAGAGAAACCAAAGCATGTTCTTCAGTATCTGAAAACCGATAATACAAGGATACACCTAGGAAACATAACATTATATCTATGTTCGTTCCGGTTTGGGAACACATATACTGCAGTCTACCCTGTGCCTATATTATGCCTGTTATTTGATCAGCTGTTAATAATGACTGAAAATGAAATTCAGCTGGTAGTTACGGACGGTAGTTTTCTGCACACAATAGTCATGATAACTCAGCCTGTCTAGGGAATGTTGACGTGAAGGGATTAAAGAGTTTATGCACCGGAAAAGGGCCTATATGGTCCCTGATCAAAACAAAAACAAAGCCACACCCACTCTGCACGTTATGACTGCCGTGGAACCACGTGCACTCCCAGCGACTGGAATTACCAAAAACATACAAGTGCATACAATCTGAGTTCAAACATGATGTAATATACGAATGCATGTGTTGAAATTATTATAATCGTCCTAAGTCTTTTTCTTACCTCAAGTTTAGCATTGCACTGAAAGACTGTTTGAGCCTTGTGGCAAAGCTGAGCAAACGCAGCACTGAGAGCTGTCATTTTCTGCCTGCCTTCAAATGTTAGTTCACATTGGTCTGGGTCAATTTCTCCAAGCAACAAATCAAGATCTACAAAAGCTTTGTCAAATTCTTTTTCGAGAATTTCCAACCAGCGAAATGACAGCGTGGCAGCCATTTTGGATACGTATTCGCCGGATATGCAGAGCTATTTTTATTGGCTTCACATATGTATCAAAACCGCTACAATTTACACCTTGTTATACTTTAGAAATAAGATATTATTTTATTAAATCTAAACACCATAACCAATGTGGTCCCTGGAATTCGAAACTACGGCTTAGTATATAGATCCCAGTCCCATCAACTGTCAAAAGTGGGCAGTGGCGAATCAAACAAACCAAACTAAAGTAACGAGCTAAAAATGTTCAAGTTTCTGTTCGGAGGCAGTTTATACTTTGTAGAGTTAACTCCACGTGTTCCTTAAGCAGTCAAACAATGAATATTAACACGAGAAGTTCAAAACAGTCCTGGCATGAGCGATATAGTAACTCATAACACGTGCTCGGTATCATTGCAGACGACAGAGATCCGCTCGACCAATCAGAGCACGACATACCGGTAACGTCACGAGATTCCGCTAACTTTCCCACAGTCTAACACATCATGGCGAGATGATAGTACACACGATGAGCGCGTTATACGTTTTTATCTTCATTTTCCTTTGGATATCATTGTCAGGTGCAATTTCTAATGTGGAACATATAAAGAACAAATGTAAAGGAAGATGCGGCTCGAATTTGGTAAGTGGACAGTTGTTTTTTAATACTTTACCATTTATTCTCCTCTGGAACCTGTGTCCTGTTTGGGAGCCTCAGACGCCCATATCGCACCGTTATGCGATAACGCACGTTAAAGGCGGGAAAATATCGCGGTCAAGTTAACCCAGGATGCAAACATTTTTTACGATGAAATATGGAATAATTTTCCAAATATTTAAAGGTAAGTGCAAAATGTCTTAGTGACTTTGTAAACATTAATTGCGTGCAACAAGTTTGCAAAATGTGATCGACCTGGAAGATATGTTTTATTTTCCCCCTGCATTTGTATACTTATGCGTTTTATCAGCAACAGATTTTGTTTCATGTCCCTTTTGCCACAAATTAATGTGAAGCCTTAACTTTTATTGCCGGGCTGCAGGCGTTCACACTGAGGACGGTGTTACCATATGACGCACCCCAGTCACGCATGAGAGATCAGTTATCATACAAATCGTTAAAGAAACAATCGCTCGGTTGGCTGATTGTTTGATAAATTCCATTATCATAAGTGTGTCCTCTCCGTTAATTCCCCATTAAAACAAGCTTGAAGATAAGCCCGTTACTAATGAGATGTGTCAATCGTTACACCCCGATAGGTAGCAAATGTACGGTCCTCTGTAATAATGCATTGAAGGGAAAGGGTGTTACGGGTTTGTTATGGTTAACGTTTGAAAGCATCTTGCTCTGGGACTGTCTTTTGTCACAACCGCCCCACTGTCTCCATCGAAGGGGGCACTTGTCCTGCAAATAAACTTTTGTGGACAGACTTGGAGGATAATGCGATTAGGTACGGGATCGTTGGGCAGTGGATATTCACTTGTGAAATGTCAGTTATTCCGTAGAGTACACGTTCCCCACGCAAACTGTTGTCGTTCTCTACGGGCGTTGTGATGTGCGATTTGTTCAGTATTGTTTGTAAACGTTCAAAATTTTCGCGTTGGTGTTGGGCGTTGATCTCTACGTCCACTGGCCCATATAAGTACCCCATTGTGCATTGTTTTAAAAACAAACCCTTGTGGACAGTTGTTTTGCTTTTATTTCCTGGATGTCTGGTTAAAGATTAACACTAAGGATAGATAAATTACAGGTATAACTGTGTTTCAAATGAACACCCAAAAATTTAAAGTTTAAAAGTTCAGCCTTCTTTTGTTTCCTGTCTTACAATTGTGCCACTTCCCAAATAACCAGCTCAGAAAGTCAAACAGAAAGTGGGAACTATGCTCTCTCAAATATGTTTATTTGCTTTGCAAAACATATTGGTATAAATCTAATAAATGTTATAATTTAGATATCAAATTGTAAAGGGTTTAATGAAATGTCATATCTTTTTAAATATGACACCAGACTTAGTTTAAATCTAAATGTTCAGGGTTCATTTAAGATTATAAAATATATCAGCAGTCACAGTTTCTTTACTTTGGGAAAAGTCCTGTTTGAATTGAGCCAAGATTTAAGTTGCAGGAGCCAGACATTGTAACCGATACTGCTGGGGATGGGAAGGACTTTCTGCGTATGAGTCATATGTCATTCAGAGAGGGTAGGCCGGTTCAGCTGGGTTTTAATTCATGGCTACTGTCACTTTCTTTCTCCTGTATTAAATAAGCATGGTATACAGTTTGACACATTTTATGGCTTCTTCCTCACAAATGTTTCTGTTGTGACTTAATCAGTTTTGGATAATATTCAGTGCTTCTTAATATGGCCTCAGGTATACAGGGCTGATATGTAGGTAGGAGATTTACAGGTGGGACATTATTCATTAAATTCAAGTCATATTCAAATCTTAACCCTTTAATCATGAGTGTAAAATTGATAGAAATTGTTAAAAGTACTTGACTTGTGTTTTCACAACAGGTGAACCTAGAATTTTGGATGTTATGTGATTGTTGAAAAAATTGTTTATGCACCTTTTTACTTTTAAGAAATATAATGCTCATTTTATGTTAATTTTTCCAAGTTAAGTTACTTTTTGAAAAATGATATGTTTGGAAGACTTTTGTTCCTAATTCTTTTGTTGAGTACCTGAGATGCAGCCGCCTTAGTTTCAGGGTAACATTCCCTGTTTCCAGAAGTTATTTTCTCATTATCCCAATCCTATATTGTGTAATATGCAGTTATTCTGTAAAGGTTCTGGATGACTATTCCAGAAATGTTAATCTTTCTTTGAAAGGAATTATCAATAATTTGTAAGGAAATTAGTTGTTATACTGTATGTACAAGGGACACTGGAAAGTGACTCCAGCTAAAAACACATGGCCTGAAATCAATGCCTGTGGCTCGAGGAAAAAATGTCCTGGGAAAATTTGAACATGGCCTTCTGTTGTCTTCAAGTTTCAAGGCTTTCATGATGTCAGGGAAAGAGAGAGAATTCTCCTGGTTCAGACAGCACTGTGACGCAAACCACACAAAAACTGTTGTTATGTCTCAGAGATGCAGCCCCCATGGTTGTAGGGTAACCTGCCCTGTCTCAACAAGTAACCTGCTCATTATCCCTCATCTCAGACTGGGTGCTGTCTGTAGAGTTTCTCTGTATTGTCTTACACTCCGTGTGATATTCAGTATATTCTATTCTATTCTGCTTTCCATTTTTCTATTTTTATGTTTAATTTTTGTTGTCTGAGTACTTGAATTTTAGTCATTTTTGTACTTTCCAAAATCGATTTTGTTCATGGTGTAGTGAGGCTTAGTTCTACAGCCTCTTTACATTCTGTTATGTTCAGTAAACTACAGCTATAAGGAAGGAACTACAGGTCAAAGTGACCAGAAATTTTAGCTCATTATAACCATATTTAATTATACTAGTATTTGTTTCGATTCGGAAAAAGAGCAAGGGATTGGGACTGGACTAATGCTTAGTCTCTGTATTTTTATAGTAACAAATAAACCCATTTAAATTGGAAAGGAGCCCCAGTGAGATGGGAAATTCAGAACCTGAGGAAATCTAGACTTGATTTATTTAGGGCTTTAGCATTGCTGGGAGAGCTAGGTAGTAGGGAAAATAATGTGGTTCAGGGACTGTGAGACAGACTAGGTTGCGACCCAAAAGTTCTTTATAAATGTGTTTGTTATCGTTGTATTTTACGGTATGTGTATTTGTTACACACCCTTGTTATAACATGAAGCATCAAGCCAGCTTTTTTAAATTTTGGTTATTATATCATAAGAAGGAATTGTATTAGTGATTCCACATCGTATTACAGGGATTTAATTTTGGATTCCAAAGTAAGTGCCTGCATCTTGCAAAAGGGGCAAGGGGTAGCCTAGTGGTTAAAGTGTTCACTCATCATGCCAAAGGCCGGGTTTGATTCCCCACATGGGTACAATGTGTGAGCCCATTTTGGTGTCCCCTGCCATGATATTGCTGGAATATTGCTAAAAGTGGCGTAAAACTATCACTCACTCACTAAATGAATTGGGAACTATGTAATTCCATTTTACTGAAGACTTTGGGCTGAGTGTGAGTGAGTTTAGTTTTAGCAATATTCCAGCTATATGGTGGCTATCCCGTTAGTCACCTCTTACTACAAGCATTGGGCTGAATAACAGTAGGCAGATTAACATAAATCCAAGTTTTGTTAACAAATAAGTATTTGGATCCTTGACATGTCAAGCTGTGAGCCAGGATTTGTAGCAGTTTTGGGTAAGATAGTTTCAGCATTCACAGCATTAATTCAAATGATAAATCAGAATCATATTTTATTTTAAAAATCTAAATAGCTTTTGTTTTGGATTTGGCGACAAGTTAAATTCACTCACTCACTCACTCACTCATTCACTCACTGTTAAAGTCGTAGTTTGTGAACAAACAATTGTGGAGTTTACTTCCACAGAATCAACAGAAAATGATCCAAATGCAATTATGAAGCATTTAGAATTGTCCTTTATCACTGACCGCATGGATAATCACAGATGTTATGAAAAAAAGACCAGGCGAAAGTGATCTCAAAATTGAATAAATTGCTGTTTCCTGTAACAGTGAGCATAGCATTTGTCATTTTGTATACCGTAAACCCTCGGAGTAGTTGGAAGCTAAGTCATTATATATTGAAGCAGGCATGTCTTGCTTGCAATAAACTGCAGGGCAAAGAAAGTATATAGGCTAGAAAATATGATTTGACAAAACAAATTCCAGCATCAGTAGGGCACTGGATTGGTGACAGTTGCCCAAACGCTGCATACTTAAGGTCCAGACTAGCTATTCTCAAAACGTTCGTAGCTGTACAAACTTCTTAAGTCCATTCTTAACACATTGGCTACGATCAAAGTTACGAATTCTTGGGGCTATGAACATTTCGAGAATAAGGGCCCAGAATACAACAATGATACCTGTATCAAATTTATCACCTTCAAATAACGGTTTCTCGTTTGTTTCCTTTATGGTCACCATCAAACAAAGGTGTGTACTTTCTTTTGACCGTCAGATAAGATGGTTCTTGAGTGGGCTCACAAAGCTGTGTCCTGGGTTTCTTTAGTACAAGAGACATACAAGTATGTTCACATTAAAGTATATGGGGGTTGTATGCCCACTAGATAAGTGAGTGAGTATAGCTTTACACTGCTTTTAGCAATATTCCAGCAATATCACGGCAGGGCTTCACACATTGTAACCATGTGGGGAATAAAATCTAGGTCTTTGGCGTGACGAGCAAATGCTTTAACTACTAGGCTACCCCACCACCCCCAACTAGATGAGACACAAGGCAAAAGTTGCTTAGTTATTTTGTACCCTGCTTTTTGCTATGCTGAGTTGCATCCCTTAGGTGTTAAAGGATCCTGCAATCCTCATTTTACTACCATCATACAGGTTCTTGTGGGTTCACCCCAAATGGTCAGTATCTATAAACTTCACCACTGGAATTTTTCTCCCTGTCAGGAATGGCCTTAACCTCCCACTTACTCTCTTTTCTCTCATCTGGGACACAGTTCACACACACATTATAATGTACATGAAGGTTGTTTCTTCACTTTGTTTCCTTGCCTTG